CAGGAGACAAGGTGAGAAGGCGGGCCGAAGATACGCACCCATGATTCCACGAATGCATGTAAAAAAGGAGGGCGCCGTCTTGTCTTTTATCCACGCCCCCTGCTTGAACCTGATGTGCTCGTCGACATGTAGAAGCCAAACCTTATCCCATATGAGGAGTAAGTCTCCCTGCAAACTTCCATTGAAGTGCGCGGTGATTCTGGCCTTTACCGATGGCTTTGTTAAGGGCTGTGCGAATCGTTGGCATCCGTCGCAGAACTCCGAGGAATGCGCCAGCGCAGCTTCGGGGCGCCCTTGTCGAGGCCTAGGTGTTTCAGCCGCTGTGCCATCTCAACTGGCGAGGTATGCCAAAACGTGAAGTAAAATCCGACCAGTAGCGCTAGTCGCCCTTGTTCCGACGCGCACTTCCAGCTGTTCCTTGGATCGTTTGCGGCCCAAGTTCGGCTGAATCGCGATCTTCTCCCCGGGCGGATTTTTGAAATGCTCGGTATTTTGTTGTTCGTGGAGCTGCCCCCGGTAGTTGTCCTAGGATTTTCGGGATGTTGCGCTTGTTCGGGCCCTTGAATCAGGTCGGAACTGCAAGCCGGCTGAGGGGCCGGATCGGGGGCAGCATGGGCTTCCTCCGCCTTGGCTTCTTCTCGGTCTTCAGCTGCCAGTGGCTCGAATCCCGGCGGCGGCTCTGGAGGTGCTGCTGCCGGGGGTGGCGTTGCAAGAACGCCGGGGTTCTCGCCGGGATGCGGGTCCCGTTCTGGGACAAACCTGCACCCCTGTGTCCTCGCGCGCGACGCCTCCGCCTTCGCGCCGTGCTTGCGGCGCGGACGTGTCCAGAACTGGTCCAGGATGGGGGCCTTCCTATCGGTGACCCTCTTGACCATGCCTCGTGGAAAAGGCCGGGGCAGGCGATCGGGGTGCACTTCTCGCCCTGGCCGTGCGACGTGCGCCTCTGCGTTGGCCGGTGAGCCAGGCGCGCATTGACGTAGTAATGGCAGTCGCTTGCGCCTGACGCTCCCGAGACATGTTGTTTTTCTTTATCGGGCACATTTCTTCGCCTGTAACCCGCGCCAGCACTGGTCGGTGATGTTCTCGACGGTCTCGCGATTGAAATCGAATGCCGTCTTCAAGGGCGAATATGACAATATCCGCCGCTGTGAAGGTTCTCCATGAGATTGTCGTCGGCCCAGGCGGTGTCCCGACATTCGTCGATAATCCGTGTGAGAAGTGGCCTGTCTTGGTCACGGCAGCTTTGTTCCTCGTCGGGATCTGCTGTCTAACAGGCGATCGACCATGGCGTGCGTTCTGGAGAATAATACTTGATCATTACTCGTATCTTCTTACGGAAAGACGCGATGAACTGTCGATGTTCGGGGCGTCGTAAATCCCATGCGTGCCTGAGTTCCGTAGGAAAGCCCGCGATGTGGTTGGATCGGGAAGCTGCGACTTGGCGCAGAATCTTTCTGGTGCTCCGACGTGGGACTTGCCGTGCTTATCTTGGTCGAATTTGTCCAAGTCGGTCGGAGTGAGATCCTGAGAGTACATGTGATCTTTGAAGCTCGCCCACGTCTTGTAGTAGCACCGGTGCCTTGCGATCTTGCACTTCTTAGGGGGGGCCCTGTTGTCGGTGAAAACTCAGTGAGCGTTTTTTTTTTTTTTTTTTTTTTTTTTTTTGTTGTGTTTCCTCTCTCTCACTCTCTCTCTCTCTCTCTCTCTCTCTCTCTCTCTTTCTCTCTCTCCCTTTCTCGTCTTCTGGTCTGTCTTGTCGGGGGCCACGAATGTTCGGGTGAGGGTCTCGTGATCGTCGTTGTCTTTTGCTGCGCCAGTTCGCCTTCCGTAACTAATGATGCCGTCGTTGATCGTTTCTGTTTCATGCGTCGTATCTCGTCTCGAAGCGATTGTAGCTCCATCTTCATGCTGTCCAAAATCTTCGTGCCGGTTTGTGTTTACACGGACGTGAATCTTCGCGTTGTTGGGTTCGCTCTCGGCGTGGGAGACAGCTGAACGGTGTTCCTCCTTGAGGTCGCCGCGTCGTTCATCTCGTGTCCGATTGCCACTGCGGGTTCCCAAGTATTTCATGCCAACTCTTTGTGTAGGCGCGCCGTATACCTGATCCACTTCCTCGGGGCTGTCGCAGTTGTCTTTCGGAATCATGTCGTGACCCGAGTCAGTGTGCAACAGTCGGACGTGGACTGGCCCCCCGCGGTGTCTGCCGTATTCGTCAACGGGGGAGATCTCCAGGATGCCGCCCGTGAAAGGAAGTGCGTTCGCAAACGTTGAGGCCTTGAATTTGATGGGGGGCTTCAAAAGAAATAAGCTTGGGCAGTAGGGGCCAGGGCCCCCGATGAGGTCACCAGTGGAGGTCGCATTCTCGAGCATAGGGATGCCGAGAGGTACCTCCGATTTCCAAATGCCAGGTGTCGGCGCCCCGTCGATGCCCGCAAACTTGGCAGTCGTTGGCACGGCGTCGTAATTGACGCCGAAAATTCGAGAACGTCTTTGTGGTATTCCAGAAGAGCGTCGGTGCCCATGATACCCGACGTTGCGCCGGGGTCGTGAAGTAGTCCGTGTCGCTTCTGGCCTCTGACGGTGCGGAAGGCGCCCTGAGCGGCCCCCGTCGGGAACGCGGGTCGAACGTTGAACTCCAATCATCCAGGAACAGTGCCTCGCGGTTGTCGATACTGTCGCTGACTCCGAAAGTGTTGGCCGGGGGATCCAAGGTCCAATGCCGTAGATGTCATGTCGTCTTCCCTGGTGGTCGTTGTCGTCGGTCTGGGTATAGTGGGGGGTGTCATGCGTTCCTGCTGAGTCGAAGGTGATTCGTCGTCGGCGACGGCAATCCACGAACCCGATGATCCCGATTGTAACGGCGATGGTACTTCAAGGAGTCGCAGTCGCGATGGGGTTTTCTCGTCGTCGTCGTGCCATGCGAGAAGGTCCGCATCTCGTCTCGTTGCTGGCCCCGTCCTGGCGAAGCCGGTGTAGGATTGTCCGAAACCTTCGTCGATCTTGGGGAATGTGCCGTCGTGATTTCCATGGGGCGTGTGCGCAAAACACTGGTTGTACCAGTCCTCCTCGTACTCGTCGCCCTCTTATTCTTCGTCGCAGTGTTGCCGTCGTCCTTTGCCTACACCTTTATTACCTATGTTTTTTTTTGCCTTTGCCATTCCGATTGCGATCTCGATTGGAGCCCCAGCCGTGCCGATTGTCACCTTTCTTGTCGCGGTTGTTGTTGCCCTTGATCTGGCCCTTGTTCTCGGTCTTGCCGCCATGTCCTTTGCTGCAGGGTAAGCCTTTGTCATGTCTGTGCTCGCCCTGCTGTTTGCTATCCTGTGCGTCATCTTTTGCTGGGCAATCGTGTGTGTGTATGCCATTTCGAGCCGCGTTTGGAACGCCCTCGTCCATCACATCTGCCACGTACTTTACCACCTTTACTGCCTTTGCGTGCGTCTCCGTCAGATGAGAGGTCCTCCTGGTGATCGTGGCTTTCCCAACATGGGTCATTCCAATCTGAGCTATCCCAATCATCTTCTCCCCAATGTATACCATGATCATGCCATTCGTAGTCGTGCCAGTCGTCGTCCCACCAAGTAACATCACCGTACAACCCCACGAAGTCGTCCGCGTGGTTCTTGGCCTGATTTGCTTTTGCCATACTACTGAAGAGTCCTTCGGTTTCGCCGTATCTGTTCGAATCACCATCCACTTTCAGTTTGATGTCGTCAATCTTCCTCTGTGGTAATTCGCATCCAAATAATTGATCGTCCGATCGGGCTGATCTCCAGTCCCGCTGTCTCTGAGGCCTCGTCGCAGACCATCTCAGATGCTGCAATGTACTGTGCCAGGTCTCGAGAGCCTCGTCGGAAAACGAAAGACCTGTCCAGATGTATGGTGACATTATCCTGCTCGTGAAGTCCATATTCTTGTCCCAGCCATCTCGTGAACTGTGATGCCCCCCCTGGGTTGGGCTTCGATGCCCCGCTGTGGGTCTGCTGGAACTGCTGGAAGGGCGAAAGCATTCTCGCCCACGTAGCTCAGGCCGTCCCGCTCGACAGTGAAATGGAGAGCCTGCTTCCTGACGCCACCTTGGAGTCTGCTCAGAACCAACACAGCTGCGGTAGACTCGTCGGCTTCGTTCTTCGTGCGCCACCATACGGATATATGATGGAGGTACTTCCGAACTGAGTATCGCTGCAGTTCAGGCTTCCATCCTGTTGGAGTGTTTCTCGTAGATTCTCCCAGTGATACAATCCCACGCCATGGCGTCGACATATCTTCTCTCTGCTGATGCGGATGCCCGTAGTCTCGTACCGGCTGAGCTCTCAAGCCCGACACATGTCCGTAGTTGCTGACCAGTGTTAAACCAAGCAACATTATATTATTGATCTGCATAGCCGTCGGAAGGGCGCCTCTGGGTCCACGTCCTGAACCTCGATAGTGCTGACCTCCGCCTTGGGGTCCGTCCGAACGATGCTGTCGTTTTGGTGCGCGCTGGTCTTCAGCGCGTGGTTCTCGGGGTTGTCCGAAACGCGGCAGATCTTCACGATCTGATCTATCAACTCGATGTCGTTTATTGCGCTGGCGATGGATCGCCTGCGGCGCGGCGCGCACTGGGGGGGCCGGGCAGCTCCGCTACCAGAACAACAATCCCTTTATCCTTGAGCCGGTGGTGCCGGACAACATACCCACCTGTCTCTGACCCTGCTTGTCCATTACAAGAATCTTCGTTCCTCTTCCTCCTCCTTTTCCTCCTCCGTCCTCCTCCTTCCTCCGTCCTCCTCCTTCCTCCATCCTCCATTTTCCATCCTCCTTCCTCCTTCCTCCTTCCTCCGTCCTTTGTCCTCCTTCCTCCTCCTCCTCTTCCTCCTCCTCCTCCCCCTCCTCCTTCCTCCTTCCTCCTTCCTCCTTCCTCCGTTCTTTTTCCTCCTGCGTCCTGCCTCCTGCATCGCTTGCTCCCTCTCCCTCCTCCTCCTCCTCCGCTGACGACGGCGGCGGCGCGAGGAGCGCGCCTCTCGCGGCCCTCCGCGGGGCCCCTCGGACACCGTCGCGGCGCGCAGCCCCGCGATCTCGCGCTTCAGCTGCTCCTTCAGAATCGATGGGGGGTGGAACCCCATTCCACCGCCCACTCCTCCAGCCCCTCCTCCCTGTTCTCCTCCAAACCCCACCCCGTCTCCTCCACCGCCCACTCCTCCTCCTCCTCCTCCTCCTCCTCCTCCTCCTCCTCCTCCTCCATCACCACCACGACCACGACCACGACCACGACCACGACGACCACGACCACGACGACCACGACCACGACGATCACCACCACCACGACCACCACCACGACGACCACCACCACGACGACCACCACCACGACCACCACCAAGACGACCACCACCAAGACGACCACGACGACCACGACGACCACGACGACCACGACGACCACGACGACCACGACGACCACCACCACCACCACCACCACCACCACCTCCTCCACTACCACCACCACCACGACCTCCTCCTCCTCCTCCTCCTCCTCCTCCTCCTCCTCCTCCGTCTCCTCCTCCTCGTCCTCCTCCACCGCCCACTCCTCTTCCCTCCTCTGGGTCCGTCCTTTTCCTCCGTCCTCCGCTTCCGCCTTCCGCCTCCGCCTCCGTTTCCTCCTCCCTCCTCCTCCCCACACCTCCCCGTACATATATATATATATATATATATATATATATATATACACACATATACACACATACACACTAGAACCATCGCGCGCGCTTCGCGCGCGCTCAAGATCTAGCTAGGCTTGACTGGCCAACTCATGTAATCTCAAGTTGGTCGCTTCTTGCGTCCAGGGACTCCCTTGGAGGCCGTGCGCAAGCCTCGGAATCGTATAAAAAAGGGAAAGGCGGAAGCGCAGAAACCATTCATCCCTTTTAGGTATTCAACGATTTGGGGCCCTCGAAGGCTTCCTGGGTTCTTTTTTCCCAACCCTCCTTGGTTGGTATTCGTTTGGAATAGAGCACTGCGGTCGCGTCCTTCTTCTCCCGCCTCCCGCCTCGCGTCTCCCACATCCCTCTTGTATGCTCTTGCCTTGTGCGGACCTCGCCACCCCTGGGGGGCTGCGATCTGCGAAACTGTCGCCACTTTCGAAGGCAGCTGGTGGGTCCTGCGGAGTGAGGCACCGCGGGGACCTGAGCGAGACCTCGCTGTCCCTGGGGGGCTGCGATCTGCGACGCTGTCGCCACTTTCGAGGGCTGCTGGTGGGTCCAGCGGAGTGAGGCACCGCGGGGACCTGATCGAGACCTCGCCGTCCCCGGGGGGCTGCGATTTGCGAAATTGTTGCCACTTTCGAGGGCTGCTGGCGGGTCCAGCGGAATGGGACACCGCGCAGATCTGAGCGAAACCTCGCCGTCCCCGGGGGGGGGGGCTGCGATCTGCGACGCCGTCGCCACTTTCGAGGGTTGCTGGTCGGTCCTGCGGAATGAGGCGCCGCGCGGGCCTGAGCGGGACCTCGCCGTCCGTGGGGAGCTGCGATCTGCGACGCGGTCGCCGCTTTCGAAGGCTGCTGGTGGGTCCTGCGGAGTGGGGCACGGCGGGGATCTGAGCGAGACATCGCCGTCCCTGGGGGGCTGCGATCTGTGACGCGGTTGCCACTTTCGCAAGCTGCTGGTGGGTCCAGCGGAGTGAGGCACCTAGGGGACCTGAACGAGACCTCGCCGTCTCTGGGGGGCTGCGATCTGCGACGCCGTCGCCCTTTTCGAGGGCTGCTGTTGGGTCCAGCGGAATGAGGCACCGCGCAGATCTGAGCGAGACCTTGCCGTCCGCGGGAGGGCTGCGATCTGCGACACTGTCGCCACTTTCGAGGGCTGCTGTTGGGTCCAGCGGAGTGAAGCCCCGCGGGGACCTGAGCGAGACCTTGCCGTCCGTGGGAGGGCTGCGATCTGCGACGCTGTCGCCACTTTCGAGGGCTGCTGGCGGGCCCAGCGGAATGGGACTCCGCGCAAATCTGAGCGAGACCTCGCCGTCCCTGGGGGGGCTGCGATCTGCGAAATTGTCGCCACTTTCGAGGGCTGCTGGTGGGTCCAGCGGAGTGAAACACCGCGGGGACCCGATCGAGACCTCGCCGTCCCTGGGGGGGGGACTGCGATCTGCGACACTGTCGCCACTTTCGAGGGCTGCTGTTGGGTCCAGCGGGGTGAGGCACCGCGGGGACCTGAGCGAGACCTCGCCTTCCCTGGGGGGGGTCTGCGATCTGCGACGCTGTCGCCACTTTCGAGGGCTGCTGGTGGGTCCAGCGGAGCGAGGCACCGCGGGGACCTGAGCGAGACCTCGCCGTCCGTGGGAGGGCTGCGATCTGCGACACTGTCGCCACTTTCGACGGCTGCTGGTGGGCCCAGCCGGCTGAAGCAAAGCGGGGACCTGAGCGAAACCTCGCCGTCCCTGGGGGGGCTGCGATCTGCGACTCTGTCGCCGCTTTCGGGGGCTGCTGGTGGGTCCAGCGGGGGATACGTTAGGCGCAACGGGCGCATGGCACAACCAACGGAGGTGATTGGTGAAACAGACCATCTGCCGGGCGATGGCCGTAACGTTGCGCCTACACGTATCCCGCGGGGGCTCTCAAGAGCTGCTGCGGGATACGTTGGGTGCAACGGGCGCATGGCACAGCCAACGGGGGTGATATGTTATCACGCAGCCCTTATATCTTGATCGGGGGCCTGCGAGCCTTCCGATTGCTGCTCGCAAGATCACATGCGTCCATGTTACGTCATCGCCCCCGTTGTAGCAATCCTGGTGGACTTACGCCCCGCATTGCGCAAGGGTTTGGTACGTCGCAATATCTTTTATAGATAGCATTATTATTACTCAGGTTATTATTACGATTATTACTATTATTCTTAGTATTGATAACATTACCATTATTATTCGTATTAACACTATTATTGTTATTGATATTATTATTACTATTCTTATTAGTAGCATTATTATTATTATTAATATTAGTAATATTTTTAGCACAACTATTTGTATCGTCATCCTTATCATTATCATTTTTTATTATGGTTATTAATATTTATAGCATTCTTATTTTAATCATCAGTTTTATTATTATCTTGTACATGGCTATACATATATATATATACATACATATGTATATATATATATACATACATACATACATACATACATACATACATACATAGAACCATCGCGCGCGCTTCGCGCGCGCTCAGGTTCTAGCCCAGGCCTGGGGGGCGCTGGACGATCTTGGACAACGATATCAAGCACAGGCGCGCGACGGCATCTGAGGAGCTTCTGGGGTGTTCCGCATGCTTCGTCAACTGGCTGTTGGAGGCACCTCTTGGGTGCTTCTTGGGGGGGCGTCTGAGGGTCCCTTGGGGGCATCGGTTCTGCAATCTGAAGCCGTCATTGGCCGTCTTGGCTGCGTGGAAGCCCGACTTGAGGCCACCTGCGGCCAGATTGAGGCAATCCGGAAGCCTCCCGGGGGCCTCCTGGAAGCAGTTTTGACGCATCGAGGGCACTCTTGGGCTATCTTAAAGCCTCTTGGACGTCTCCTAGGGGCCTCTTAGGCCCTCGGGAAGCTATTGGGGTCCTCGTCGGACCACTTGGGGGCCTCTTGCGGCCTCCTGTGTGCCTTGTGGGGGGACCGATCTGCTGTTGGGTCGCGTTCCCCTTCTTGGGCCTCTCTTGGGGCTCTTGGGGCCCTCTCGGGCCGTCTTGGGCGCCTCAAGCACCGTCTTGGGGCCCTCGCGGGCCGTCTTGGGGCCCTCTTGGAGTCCTCTTCCTCTATATGGGAGCGGTATTGGAAGCCTCTTGGGCCGTCTTGGAGCATCGGGATGCCAAAAGGCCGAAAACATTAAAACCCGTCAAAGCCCAATCGTAAAACAATGAGTTGTGCCTCTTGGGGCCACCTTGGGAGATCTCTTGGAACCTCGTCGGCCCTCTTGGGAGCTTCTTGGGGGCCTCTTGGATCCGATTGGGGGCCTCTTGGGACTTCCCGAGAACCTCTCGGGGTAGAAAGCTCGGATTCTCGGTTCGTGTTTCCCTTCTTGGGCCTCTCTTGGGGCCGTCTTGGGGCCCTCTCGGGCCGTCTTGGGCGCCTCAGGCACCGCCTTGGGGCCCTCGTGGGCCGCGCAGGGCCCTCTTGGAAGCCTCTTCGGCTATCTTGGAGCTGTCTGGGAGGCCTCTTCCTCCTCCTCGTCCCCCTCCTCCTCCTCCTCCTCCCACTCCAACTCTCTCTCCTCCTGATCTTCCTCCTCCTCCTCCTGCAGCGTGTTCCGGAAGGCTCCCGCCGGAACATGCTGTGCACAAGTGCTGTCACTGCTCCCGCCATCATGGGTGTTGGTGTGGATCTCGTGGTTGGCCTGTCGGGGACGTCGTGAAGGCAGTTTCGCAACTTCTCGGTAGCCGTTTTGGGACCGTTGTGGGGCCTCCTCGGGGCTGTTTTGTAGCCTCTTCAGGCCTCGTTTGGGCCTACTGGGTGCATCTTGGGGGCCTCCTGGGGCCTCTTGGGGGCTCCTTGGGGCCTCCTGGGGCACTCTTCAAGCGGGAGGGTCGAATTTTGGAGTCGTGGTCCCCCTCTTGGGCGCATCTTGGGGCCGTCTTGGGGCTCTGTTGGGCTGTCTTGGGCGACTCTGGGGCCGTCTTGGGGCCCTCTTGGGCCGTCTTGGGGCGCCCTTGGGGGCCTATTGAGCCGTCTTGGAACGTCGGACAGCCGAAAAGGCTGGCAGGCCAAAATCGTTCGAAAACCTTCGTACAATTGACGATTTCGGCCTCTGGAAGCGCTCTGGAGAGGCGTCTTGAAGCGTCGTGGAGTGCCTTGGGGGGCCTCTCGGGCCGTCTTGGGCCTATCTTGGGCGTCCTGGAGCGGTCTTTCGGCGACTCGGGGCCCGCTTGGGCCATCTTGGGAGCCTCTGGAGGCCCTCCTGGACTATTTTGGACCTCCCCGGCCGCCCCGTCCTCCCATGGGGGGTCGGAGGCGGCGGCCTCAGAGGCCCAGGACGCGGAAACCCTGTAAAACCACACGGAAAATGAGCCCCGGTACCCCCATGGCGGCTCTTCGGCGCTCTTGGACCGTTGGAAGCTCGAA